AAAATCAGATGTCGAAAAGATAAAACGAGCCCTGCAGATTGTGTTTGCTCCAGATCGTTTCTTGGCTTACAAGCAATTTGCAGAATGCCGACTGCACCCAAATGAATCCATGTTTCTAGCCAACATGAAGAAGCTAGCAGGTCTATTTGGTGGGATATCCGAGCAAGGACTAGCATGTGGGTTCATAGCAGGGTTACCAGCACACATCAAGCAACTACTGTGCGCATTTTCCAGGATGGAAGGCATGAATACAAACCAACTGTTGGACCGAGCTTGGGCCACAATGAAAGATCAAATTGCAACTGAACTGAGGAAATGGTTGTGGCTACCATTTCACCAGGCAGAGCTAATAAACATCCAAATGTTAAACATCGTGAGGGTATGTGATGCTATTGATGCTCTGGGTGGAATCACCTTTCCATGGACTGCTCGGTTCGACGAGAAGAGGCCCATCAGCCATGCAGGTCACGCACAACAATGCGTTGCTTCTGGTGTTAAGAAGTAGGCAACATTGCTTCATTGTGTCCAGTGAAAAGAAGAAGGGGACAAGATGTCAGTGCCGGTCTCTTCCCTAAGCAAGTTATTAATGAAGCGCTTGGGTATTTATATGAACGGAATTAAGAGAGTGGCACTGGTGGACACTGGCTGCTCACAAACACTCACGAGTAAGTCGACCTGTCGATCCTGGCAGGTGATGGAGGTGAACGTACTCACCGTAAACAGAAATACATTCAAATGTTGCTGAGTTGAAAGTATTAAGCTTGACGTGGACAATGCAAACCCCCTCAAAATTGAAGTCTTGGTAGTGGATGGAGAGCTATTGGGTTTTGACTTGTTGCTTGGATTCGACGCCATTAAAAAGTTGGGCGAACTCCAAATAACAGAGTGTGGCGATGCATGGTTTCTCAAGTGTGGGATAATCTGTTGTTCCACTATTAAAATAGAAGAACCTGATTTCTGTGCCGAATTCGATCCAAACCGAAGGATATGAGTCGCATCATGGAAGTGGTCTGATGGTCAATCACTGGAGAGTTTGCGAAATCGGATGCCAGAGTACCCAATACCAACAGGAGTCAAGGAGGAATATGACCGTGAGCTGCAGACCTGGCTTGATAACAGATGGTTGCAGCCTTATCCTGAAAAGGAATTTGGTCCCCCAAAAGGTTTAATTCCGTTTCCAGTGGTGGTGCAGAAAAACAAAAATAAAGTGTAGCCAGTATTAGACTATCGAGATCTGAATGAGTGTCTTGATGCACACACAGCCAATGCTGATGTGTGCGCACAGAAACTGAGGGAGTGGTGTAAAAAAAGGACTGGATGTCGCTATTCTTGACCTACAGCAGGCCTATCTACAAGTACATATCCATAATTCACTTTGGCCCTTTCAAATGGTAATCTTCAGGGGCGAAGATATTGCTTTTAGTGAATGGGTTTTGGGTTGAATGTTGCACCAGCCATAATGAAGGCCATTGTGGACGCCGTGTTGTCAAAAGATGAGTCAGTTCAATGGGCAACCTCATCATATATTGATAATATTTATGTTGACGAGGGCATGATTTCAACAGCTCGCGTGAAGGAGCACTTGGCTGCATTTGGTTTAACCTGCAAGAATCCAGAGCGGTTATAGAACGGCACACGTGTGCTGGGTTTGCATGTCAAGCAAGATGACAATAGGCTTAAGTGGAAACGTGAAAATGGCATTCCATCAGTTCCTGAGGTCCTGACACAATATCACATCTTCTTGTGGGGTGGAAAACTGGTGGGTCACATTCCTGTGTGTGGGTGGCTTCGTATTGCTGCATCATTTGTAAAATGCAGGACAGTATCGATCACGTCTGGTTGGGACAACGAAGTGACAGATCCTCCCCTTAAGAACATGATTGAGGACATAGCGGAAAGAATACGCTAGAATGACCCTGCACATGGTAAGTGGTACACAAGCAGACACACTTATGAGGTATGGGTTGATGCAAGTTCTCTCACCACAGGGGTTTCGTTGGAGGTTGATGGAAGCGTTGTAGAAGACACATGTTGGCTGCGGCCTGCAAAGGACGCCCAACATATCAATTTATCAGAATTGGATGCTATTCTGAAGGGCGTCAATTTAACACTACAGTGGGGCGCAACGGAGCTAAACCTCTTCACGGACTCTGTGTATGTGCACCGGTGGATATTAAACATGCTTACTAGCAAAGCCAGAATACGAACTAAGGTGGCAAGTGAGATGCTGATCTAGAGGTGTTTGAGTACTCTTGAAAAGCTGCTTCAAGAGTATAACTTATTGATCACGATGTTTAGTAATGTCAAGTGAGAATCAAGCAGATAAGCTAACTAGAGTACCGCAACGATGGTATATGATCAAGAAGGAAATTGAACCAACATGCCTGATATGTGCTTCCATGGTGAACAAAACCTCTCCTGATCAGATATGTGCCATACATTGCCAGAGTGGACATCCTGGCATCAGGCGAATGCTGTATTTTGTGAGACGTCGACCTTATGGCATCCAAGGCGGCCGTCGAGGCAGTGGTCAGAAAATGTAAAGGATGCCAGTCAATTGACCCAGCCTCAAGTTGTTGGCCGCATGGCAACCTTAGCGTGACTGAAATCTGGACCCACTTAGGAATGGATATTATGCATTACAGTAGGCAACACTACCTTACGTTAATTGATTGCGGACCCAGTCGATTTGTGATATGGCGACGCCTACTTCAACAAGACTCAAGAATCGTCATTCAACAGTTGGAAAGTATTGTTTTTGAACAAGGCTTGGCATCAGAAATCCTGACCGACAATGACACTGCATTTCGCAGTAAGTTCTTTAGAGATTTCTTGGATGACTGGGGATTCCAACTTTGTTTTCGCTGCGCCTATGTTTCTGCAGGAAATGGTATAGTAGAAAGATCTCATCAGAACAAAGAGAATTGCAGCAAGAAAGCAGTGTTTGATAATGGAGGCGGTATACTGGCATAATAACGCCGAAAGATGATATATCGTCGACTAATGCACCTGCCAATATAATTCATCGTTACCAACATAAAGTGAAGGGAATTACTACAACATTACCACCTGATCGGTGTAAGTATCACGATATATACAAAGTTGGGAACAGAGTACGGGTGAAAGCTCTCTATGGTCAGTGTACCTCCAGTTATTAAGTGGGTCATGTGCCGGACATTGTAAGTCCACAAACAATAATAATCGACAGGATACCACCGCATGTAAAAGATCTTCACCTTTTCGTTGGTTCTGATACACCGTCAAGTGAATCCGATGATGGTTCATCACCTGACAGTGATCGGATAATTGAGATCTGAGAATCTGATGCTTCCACAGACGCAGAGATTCCAGAAACTTGAGATATGTCTGATGACTCCTCAGGAAACGACTCTCCAACACACATAAGGGAGATAGTTCCATTACAACGAAGCACCAGGATAAAGAGAGCTGCTCCAAGCTGTTCGACTTGTGATAATGAGATCAGGGGGGAGCATAGTGAAGAAAAGGGGACTTATCTCGTCAAACCAAGCAACAACACGTCATGTGTATCCTAGAATGGAAAATGTGGTGAAAAAGAAAATTACTTACCAAAAAAAAGGGCACGTATTCTGCATGACATGCTGAAGATGGAATATTTAGATTAAAAACAAGTCTGTTGCAAGAGTCTCTATAAAAGTATTTTGATATGCAAAAATTTGGCGTCCTCTCCCAGTTGTCGACAAATGAAAAAATGCTCGGCCGATAAAAGCAGTTGGTGTTCTCGAATAGAGGAAAAATTGATGTATTTTGGCTATAGCATTCATCAGAGAGTGAGTTATTTTCCTGACTGGTTATGTGCATTGGGATTTATAAGATAGTACTTGCGAATCGAGTTTTCGGCATTTCTTTCTGACCCCGATATTCGAGTCTGAACTTACAGTGATTTGTTTCCTGTGTTGTGGAATTAATCTGTGACAAATATTTCCTTTGCTTTCAGAACGCTTACTTGAATCAAAAGAGACATGATCATCCAAGTGTGCACTTAACTGATGAAGAAATATTATTCACACTGCAGGTAGGTAGGAAAAAATACAATAGCAGAAGAGACTGGGTCCTATAGCCTTGGTTGTAACCAGTCTACCGAAAGAAATGGCAACATACTGCGGGGAAAATCTTCTGCCTAGTCAGTCATGAATCGAAAGAGACATACTCCTCCAAGCATGCATGCACTTACTTAAATGATGAAGAAATATTATTCGCACTGCAGGTGTAGGTAGAAATGTTATTGCTGTTGGAGTCCATGCTCCAAGGATGCACAAAGTGTACAGAAACGTTGTGTTTGGCTTCTGGTCAGATTGATATTTTATCATTTATCTAAAAATACAAGAAAAATGAATGAAGTTGGTTGATGTTGATAAATATACTTGAATGTCTTTTTTATAAATGTGGATTTCATAAATTGTTCGCACCGACCTTGAGAAAGTTGAACGGTGATGTTGCTAACTAAAGTAAATTACATCGACCATATTCAAGAAGATCCATACTTTTTTAGATCCAATTCTTTAGCAGTTAAAATGGAATTCTTTGCCCGGAAACTTGGTTCACGCAAGATCTCTGTCGTTGTGCAAGAATGAACTGATAACCTTGCTTAAAAAAAAAAAAAAAAATGGTTCTTCCCTTTTGAACAGGGTTCTTGCTAACTTTTTAATCGGAGTACCAATTTCTATGTTTAAAAATTGATGTTTAGTGTTTTTAGTTTGTAATTGTTGAAACTCATGCTTGTGAAAGTCCACGTGTAGCAAACAAAACAAAACAGAAAAATAAACATAAATTTCATCAACTTATTTATATCAACTAGTTTTAATTTAACTATGATAAACTTAAAAATCATAAAAATAAAATCAATTTTTTAAAGCTTATCACGATGACGGAGATGAGTTTTTAAGTGAGAGTTATTTTAAAACTCCTCTTAAATTGATCTTATTTTTAAATGATACGTTTTAAAATGAAAATAATCTTACCAATGCTTTCTTTTCCGGTTCTTTACAAAATGAATAGGGAGTTTGTGATGTTTCTGGGCCCGTAATACGTCTTGTATCAATTGGCATCTTTGCGTGTTCGTATTTCCCAGTTTTTTTGTAAAGTACTCGCAATAGAAACACAAGTTGAAACGTGAGGTTGTAGGAAAAATTAATTATAAAACGAAACGAAAGACTTGATCTTTGAAAAATAATTTTAGAGAACAAACTAAGGACATTTTATATAATTAAGAAAAATTTTTTCACGAAAGTAAAATCAAAAAGAAATAATTATACATGGCATCTATTAAGCAAAGATAAATTACGTGAATTTTAAAAATATATTTTACTACAAAGTTTGAGTAAAAATTTCGTAACAAAATTTATAACAAAAAACAAGTATATTTGAAATATATTTTTTAGTAAAGCACAAGACAAATTAAATAAATATTTTTGTATGTATTTATCAGTCTTTTAAATTGAAAATAGTAAATATAATGTAAAAAATAATCGAATAGTACGCATATATTTTGGGAGAGAAAAAAATAATATTGTTTTCGTTTCAACGTTCACAATCAAAAATTTTGATGTGTCCTCTTTGAACATCATGGCCGAACAGCTTAATCTATCGAACTTTGAAGGTAAGTATTAGCCTAGAATTAATTTTTCCTCCTTACATCGATCTATGTTTTCATGTCTTCTTTATTCAGCATTTTCTCATGACACAAAATTTTTAATTCAAGTTCCACCCTTTTATTGTTAATGGCTAAAAAGGTCTGTATTGTTGTCTCAATACGATGAGGGACCAAATGTTAAGTCGAATTTTTATGCCACCAGCTGTAATATTGAACATCCGCATCTTTTATTAACAGCACATGTCGCTTCTTTCTTGTAAGTCATTTCTAATTTTATTTTTTTATTGACCGAACGAATAATATGATTCATAGTTTGTTCTTGGAGGTTCATTTTTTCGAATGTATGTATAAGAATCCTGACCAACTGTAAGATAATCGAGTTAGATGAAAATAAATTTTTTCGTCCTGTTTTTTTTAGAAACCTACACAGAAGGGATATTTCTCTTGATTACACGTTGTAGTTATTTAAAAAATAGGAAATTTCAATTATTTATTTGTTTATTCTTATAAATTTCATTTATTTATTTTAGAAGCAACGGGTAAAAAACCCTCCTTGTTAAACGTGTTCAATATTGTTGCCAGTTACAAACGTTTTGGCTCAGCTTCGATCTGGCTATCATGGATGAGGATAAAAAATCTTCCTTTTCTTACCCTTTTTTTTTTTTTTTTTAGAATTTACTCAGCCTGTTGCAACAATTTAGCTCTTATTTTTCCTTTCCTATTCTAAATTAGCTACTAAATAATACTTTGTTTATTTATATTATCTTTTAGAATTTTAAACACTTAAAAAAATGTACTTGTTTGTAGCGAGAAGTGTATAAAAAGCGTTTTTTTGTTTTGTTTTTTTTTTTCAATCGATTGATTTTTTTTTTTTCAAAATTATATCTTAAATAAATTCATAAATTTTATTGTTTATATTTCCTTTTCTCTCTCAATTGTTCTTTTTCTTATTTACATTTTTGATCGACTGTTTTAAAAAGCCCTCATCGTTGGACAATAATATCTTTTTATACAAATAAGTAAAAAGTCACTAATTTCTATTATCCGATATCAGTATATTTAAATTTATTTAAAAAATTATTTTGTCAGTTCTTTTATTATTAGTAGTAGTAGTAATTATTTTCCACCCTTATTGAAAGAATTTTCGACTTTATTTTTTAACTGAAGGCTGATTTGTGTCTAGATTTTCAGGTGATTGTTGTTGATGTCTCATTTCATCTCTTGTATTTTTTGTCTTTTATTCCCATTTACTTTGAAATAATTTCACTGATATTCACTAAGGACAGAATGATGCAGTTTGTTTTAAATTATTTTTTATTGGGTTCTCGGTATCACCTTTCACTTCATCCCTCCCAACCCCGAGTTATCAACATTAATTTTTTTTTTTTTAAGTTAAAAAAAACAACTTAGGAATTATTCAATTGCAAACATAATGTAAAATGTCATTTAATATTCAACAACTTATTTTCTCTACATTTTTTTCCTCATATTCACTTCGGAAATGTAAATCCCACAAAATTTTCCACCCTAAGGTAGAATGTAACACCTGGCCATTTATAATCTACACTGAAAACATGTTCTCATTTTATGAAGTGGCATCCAGAATATGCCATTACTGCAAACATCAGGACGTTCCTTGGACTATGTTAGTGTTTAGTTTAGGAAGGTGATCTCCAAGGGATATGTCGTCAGGCTTTAATTAATTGTTTCTTGACACAAATATTAAGTTTTGATAAAATGATGTTTGAATAAATTAAAATTCTTTGAAAAATCCCATTTTAAAGTAGACAAGAAAGAGATAACGTTGGTAAAAAAAAAAAAAATTATGCTTACATTAGTGAACTTAAATACTTTCTAAAAAACCTATTCTGACTTCTTATGGCCATATCATGTTGAAACACCGGTTCTTGTATCATCCCTAAAGTTGAGCAACATCGAACCTGGTCAGTACCTAGATGAGTGACCATTTGAGAATACCAAATTCTGTAATCTTGGATGTGCAGGTGGCGTAATAGATAACAGTTCAGAATTGGTAATTGGAGAGCCGGATTCCAATTTCAGTTGAGTTCATTATATTCACTTACACACAAATACCCTTGGGGAAAGGTATGAATCCACCTGTCCTCCTCCAGGCTATAGGTTAACATTTAGCACTCTGTAGGTGACTTTTTACCTTAGGCTTAAGATTTTGTGTTGTCAAGTGATTCTGTCATAATTCTTTGGTTGTGTTGTGATGAAAACAGAAATTGACAATGAAAACTAGTTGAGAGGCTTTTAAAAAAGAAAAAATGCTGTGAAAGAGGAAGTAATACTTGTGGATAACATTGATTGCTAAATGTTAATTAGTGTGACTTGTATCACTAAATAGTTATTATATCCAAAAAAAACAAAATCAATCTTATAATCTAAAACTATTTTTTGACTTTAAATAAACTGCAAAGGGTTAAGCTGTAGAAAATGAATCCATCAACTATTCTGACTGCCTAGCAAGTGAGTAATCACATACTTTTTTTTTTTTTTTTTTTTTTTTTTTTTATTCAAAAATGTTTTTTTTTTTGGGGTCGGACTTTACAAATTTTATTTTCTATATTGGCTTAACTATGTTCAACATAAATATATACTGCTGAGTAAAAAAAAGGTTCTGGTGTTGATAAAGAAAAAAAAAAAAAGTTAGCTCCAAAATTTTGAGAAGTAGGTTTCTTACACTTGTGCTGGCTTTTGATCTGAAAATTGCATGCATATCAGTGATAGATTTTGCTTTTTTTTTTTTTTTTTTTTTTTTTTTTATATTTAAAAAACTGTTGTCATAAGCAAATAAGATATGGGGGAAAGAACATATTTTTAATTACTATCTTGGAAGAATAAAGAACAAATGAAAGTATGACAAGTTATTTCGGTAAACTTTATTCAGGTGTGCAGGTGCCTGTCCCATACAAGCAAGATGAGATCAATATGGTCAGGATATTAAAACATCAACAAAAAGTTAGCCAAAAGCAACTTAACAACGTGAATTCATATTTAAATCTATGTTATCAAAGTTACCCAACATTGTGGGTAACATTGATAATGAAAAAATGTGTGTAGTATCCAATCAAAAACTATTATTACCTACAATATGCTTGCTGGTATGGAGTTATTGAAAAGAAAAATGTTGACTGTAGGATGCCTTGTTGGCTAGAAATGTTAGCAAAAGTGCCAGAAACCTATCAAAGTTACCTGATCTGATGGTAAGTTTGGTGTCATTTTTGTGAGAAATTTACCTTTACTTAACGATGAGACTTTTACTTAAAAAAAATTTTGGTGACTTTTGTTGGGGTGGTGTAATTGGTAAACAAATTTTGGCCTGGTCTGTTGCATTCAGTACAAAGAACATTGGGAAAGAAATTAATCTGTCTCCTCCCCCTGCTCCAGCTGTGTGTTAAATTGCAAGATAGGTGCTAATCAAGCCATGACAATCTTCCCATTTAAATTGGGACCCATCTGTATTTTTCTTCACAGAGACTAAATTTCAGTCTTATGAAGGGAAAAAATATTAAAATAAATTATAATGTATTTTGGGTAGTATTTTTATTATTGTTACTAATGCATGACTTCAAATCAAGAGAAGAGCTTGGATCCAGTTTGAAATCTTCAAATGATTTGAGAAAAATCAAACAATACAAAATAGATACATAAACAACCTCAATATAATTATACTGCTATGTAGTGTACGCTGGTACTTGTAATTTTAAATTGCAAAATATTGCGATAACTTTTGAAACAGAAATTAGGAGAAGAAACATTGGTTTCAACTAATATACTTTCAACTAATTAGTCTGTCAAACATCAACCTTTTAAAGCACTTCACAGACAAGGTAACTAATGTATAAATTGTTGCAAGAACAGCATTAATAACAAACATATTCATGGGATAGACTCACTGGTTTAATCTATTGAATAGAGCCCCCTGTAATTTAATCATATCAACAATGGCATGCTAATCGAAAGGTTCATTTCTGTTGTTTAATATCATGAAAAATTAAATATTTTAGTGAAATATATGTACGACATTGAAATTTTAATGGATGATATGGTATAACTTTTCAAAAGCAATTTACATAGAGATGGCTATACTATGAGGTCGTATTATACACAAGGATGTAATTTATTCTGTTTTTAGCCTCAGAAATTATATTCATGTCATACTGTACTTTTTTTATTGTATAAACAGTTATTAAGAATTTTCATATTAATAATATAAATTACTTCAATTGAAAATTATTGTTAAAGGACCTAACTTTGATTCAAGACTTAATTGTTCAAAATGTGGAGAAAGTGTCATGTCAAATATATGACCATTTGCCAAATGTAGAAACTAGCCTCCCTGTAAGATGTCACCATATGACAAAATTGTCACAGAGAGCTAGAAATATTTAATAAGACAGCTTTTTTTATTGTCATGAGTATGGAGACCCCCTTGTTTTTAAAAGGAATGGATTGTAATGATTTCAAAATTCTACTGGATACCATAGTTCAGGGGAAGTTTTTGCTGTTTTATGACATTGAATATTGTCCAGTTAAAGAGTAATTTTTAAGTAGGTGCCCAAGTCCATGGTTGATAGTCTGTTGGTGATCTCTGACAATTGTAACATTTTTGAACAAGCAAAAGCCATGTATGCTGCAGCACGTAAAAGGAGTGACTCCCTATCTAATTTATAATTAGAGATGGAAAGTATTATGAAAGAAAATGTCAGTAGTTTTTTTTTTCTTTAATAAAACTTTTGATCTCTAGGCCAGTAGACTGTTTAAAAAAAAAAAGAAGTTATTTAGTCAAACATGTGTACCCACTAAAGATAACATCATCAGACTAAAGTGATTACATATGCACATGAAGGAGAGATGTGTGCTGGAATTTTAATCATTTAAATTTAATTTTGTTTTTTTTTAGTTGTGTTTGGGTATGTAGTCTATCTGATTTCATTTAGTTTCTTCTTTTTATGTTTCCATCACTTTTGTGGTAATAGAAG